GACAAATCGATTCGTCTAATCACACAACACTTGCCATTTATAACGCGAGTGGACTTTTCCAGCTGTAAACTAATCACTGATTTGGTAAGTGATAACACATTTGGTTAAGAGGTTAATGTGTTTTACCCTAATATTTGGTTTGTATTGCAGGGCATCACAGGGTTGGCGACGGCCAGAGGCAAGCATTTACTGTCACTAAACCTAAGCGCTTGCAAACATATCTCAGACATGAGCCTCCAGTCGTTGCGCTCCTGTCCGTCGATCATACAGAACCTACACTCTCTCACAGGCGAGCAGTTGGCTTCGCGGACAGCAAGGAAATATAGAGTTATAGGCGGGGTTTGGTTTGAGTAGACGTTAATTACGAACGAAAACTGTTAAATCACGTTTTGTGTGACTATTTTATATATAGCCTTAGATAACAATTATTAGTTAATTATTTAATTATTTGTAATATATACAGTAACTGACATACAATGACATATTGTGTAAAAAGTGTATTTTTAGTATCGGTAATTATTGTTTTGATTTTAATTATTTTTTATTTCGCATAATCTATTAGTCTATCATTGAATGATGGTTTTATTTTAAAAATTATTATATAATTTCATGTATATTATCTGTATATTTATTCAAATCATTCGTTTATCATAACGCGTGTATAAAACATAGACTAAAAATGTTAAAAACATTTGAAATCATGATTTAAGAATTATTTTTATGATCAAAATCATGGGTAATGACAAAATCTATAATTATTTACATATTTGCTGATTATACAATAATTTGTGAATTAAAATTTTGTGAAAATTAAAATCGTTGTTTTGGTTAATTAAAGTGAATTTTGTATTTGATTTTTGTTTATTACATTTTACGTGAATTGAGTTTAACGTGGGTTCAATGTTTATGGATTATATGCAGTACTCAATAATTGCACAAAATAGTTACAATTCTCTAATTTCGACAAATTGATGTTTTCTAAGAAATTGAGTTTATTTTTTCACTTTCAATATAGATTTCAATTTAGATAAGCAGTGAGAATGAGTGCGAAATCTATTCATTGCTCACTTAATAACAATATTTTAGTGATGAGATTATTTATTTTATTACCAAACCATCAGTTATTGTAATAACTAAAGGATGTCTAAAGGGGTTGTGAGTGAAGGCAAGTGTTTAGTGTCAGTCAACGCCTTAATTCCTGTCCCTATAAGATGTGATCACAAAACTGGTGATTGAATACAAAACTTTACGATCGCATGTAAGACACATACAAAAAGAGTAAAACAAATATTATTGAACAGAATATTCTTATATAGGAATCAGATTCAATAAATTGTGTGCTTTAAATAGAGTGCCATTCCCTACCATTCCCATCACCATATATTTACACAGTATGTTATCTTATGTCTGTCTGTGCCAATGGTTTGGTTATTAAATTGAATATAAGATTAATTTTCTGAACCAAACCAAAGAAGTAATCAAATATAAAATCTATTATCTGTTGGATCGCGAGATTGGAATAAAAATAAGGAATTAATGGAAAAATACAAGAATTGATATCAAAATCCTTTATATTATCATTACATTAGAAGTATTAAAAGTCTATTATTCTTAGCGTTGACTGACTCTACGGTATAGTATTATTATACTGTATTCTACACTATACTATACTATACTATATTAGTGAAAGTAAATACATTTAAGAATTAATAATATTGGGCTTTGGGTTTACGGCCCATTCGGGACACATTCCGACAGCACTGGTAGTCGTCGCCAGAAAATTACTATATTCCCAGTGATTACTACTGTATATCCAGTGCTCAACACAATGTTTGCTTTGTGTTGAGTTGCGTCCCTATCATCCCTGTCTACGCCAACTGACCAACTCTTATATAAGTTTTGTATTCGTCTCAATGCAAACAAAAACATTTCTGTTTTCTGTCATTCACTGACATATCACAGGAAATCCGAGACTCCTTTGCGTGACGTTTCGTTTTCTTTCACTCTTTATAGTGTTTTTGATTATTTAATATCTGTTAACATAATTCTGTGCACTTTTTTGACAAATCTTGTTTCATATAAACCGCCGATTATATGATATAATATGTTTTGCATTCTTTGATGTAATTCTGGGAGAACTTAATAAAAAGACTTTTTTGTTTTATATAATGCTATAATTGTTAATGAATTATTCATTTGCCTATTAATATAATACTGTTTAAGTGAAATATATTATACAAACTACATTGATTTATTATTTTTATAAATTCTATGCATTTGATGTTTAAGTTACAAATCATATAGTTATAAGTGTTTAAAATCACATAAAACTTGATTTGAGTTGTTTTTGTCGAGCTTCTCATTAGTTTTGCAAAAAAGTATTTTTAGTGTAATTTATAATAAATGCTTAACACATATATTATACTCGCATTCAATCAGTCAAATAATTTGATGTTTTGCGAGCGCATAGAATATCTATACAGACATCCAGAATATGTGAAGTAAATGTGCGCTCAGTTATCCACTCACTAATCAATTATAAGCATTTGTATAGCAAAACTAAAAATAAAAAATTCTCGTACTATTACTTTATTCTGTATTCATGTGAAGCACAAAATGTTAAGTAGTATTACAATTGACAACAACTTCAACAACGACAATAATAATCATAATAACTATTATAGTAATATAACGATTGTTAAACAAAACACTTCAATTAACAACTTAATTAACGTTACGTTGAACACCACTTCACAACTTAACGAAACAAATGAATATCAAGTGTTTGAAGTATTATAAGAATATTCTTGCATTTCATAGTATCCGTGAGTTTTGTTAAGTATAACTAGAGACAAAATATCCATCAGTACATACATAACATATGTTAGTATACCAACCGGCGCTAAGAACCGTTACCTAAATAATATATGTATCACAACTTCATATTTTCCTACGTTTGACAGACCAATCTATTCATTGTGAACCTCGCCGTCGGAGACATATTGATGGCCATCCTCTGTATTCCCTTCACATTCGTATCCAATCTTCTGCTCCAATACTGGCCTTTCGGACCCTTCATGTGTGTCATTGTGTGCTATTCACAAGCGGTCACTGTATTTGTCAGCGCCTATACCCTCATCGCCATCAGTATTGACAGGTAAGTCGTTACTCTCTCTCTCTCTCTCTCTCTCTTTCTCTCTCTCTCTCTCTCTCATATTCAGAGATACTTTCTTATGATTTAGTATAAAATATTATAACTTTTCCTAAAATTATAGAAAAGTTTTTTATTAACTCTATAAAAAAATTCTGTAAATTTCATTTAAGTTTATATTCTATGGAATTATTATTTTAATATAGACTTATTAGGGATAAAATATATTTATAAAAATATGGAAAAACAGCTTTTAACGTATTAAGAACACGAACTTCGTGTTGATTAACCTACATATAGAAATCACTATAAAAATCAGTTTGATTGCCAATTGAGTCAATAACAACATAAAAACAGTGTTTCAAACCGGATTAAAACCCACAAAAAAACACTGTTAATCATTTGTGTGTAACTTTGTTTGTGACTATAAAAACCTTACCACAGATACAGAGCTATATTACACCCATTGAGGGCCAGAATGACAGAAATGAATACACGGCTCATAATAATGATCATATGGTTGGTATCGCTGGTGACACCACTGCCCACAGCCATACTCTCCCGACTGAAACGGCAGCAAAACAACACTCATTTGCATTGCATTGAGGACTGGAATGACTTGAATAAGCGATACTATTATTCAGTGGCTTTAATGGCATTGCAATACGTATTCCCGCTGACAGTACTTATCTATACATACATGAGAATAGCGGTCGTAGTGTTCGCTAAACAGACGCCCGGGGAGGCCGAGGATGCGAGGGATGCGAGGAT